AAGGAGGGAGAGGGAGAGAGGAGAGGAAGGAGAATAGGAAGGAGGGAGGAGGGAGAGGGAGGAAGAAGCCAAACAGTCCTTTTATATCAAGCCAGGCTCATACCTGACTGTTGCTAGGTAACTGTTGGGCGGAACCTAGAGGAAATGCTAACACCCAGGACCTGCAGTGAAGGAACAGAACTCCTGAAAGTTGTTCTCTGACACCACACACACTGTGGCAAACAGAACTTCTCTCTCTTCTCTCTCTCTCTCTCTCTCTCTCTCTCTCTCTCTCTCTTTCTCTCTCTCTCTCTCTCTCTGTCTCTCTCTCTCTCACACACACACACACACACACGCACACACACCATATACACACACAGCGTATAATCACACACAAACACACATACTCATAAAAACACATAACATTTTAAATGTTTAAACACATAAAACTAGAAAAACAGTGCAATGAATCACCATGTGTCCACCCTCCAATATCATAAACTATTCAATCACTGTTCACATTTTGTCATTTATTTCACAGAAATAATAACACAAAATACTTCATAATAGTGCCCCATACAACTCAGCATGCATGTCTCAAAATAATAACATGCTATGGACCGCAGTAACATCCCCTCTAACAATGCATCTTAGAGTTTCTGTTGCTGTGATACAAACAACACGGAAAGGAAAAGGTTTGTTTTTATCTTACAACTCACAGGTCACGCTCTGTCACTGAGAGAAGTCAGGGCAGGAACCTGGAGCAGAAGCCATGGAAGAGTGCTGCTTACTGGCTTGTTCTTCATGGTTTGCTCAGCCTGCTTTCTTATACTATCCAGGACCACCTGTCCAGGGGTGGCCCCGCCCACAGTGTGCTGGGCCCTCCCACATCAATCATTAATTAGGAAAATGCCTGCCGGGCGGTGGTGGTGCACGCCTTTAATCCCAGCACTTGGGAGGCAGAGGCAGGCGGATTTCTGAGTTCGAGGCCAGCCTGGTCTACCGAGTGAGTTCCAGGACAGCCAGGGCTACACAGAGAAACCCTGTCTCGAAAAAAAAACAAAAAACAAAAAACAAAAAAAAAAAAAAGGAAAATGCCTGACAAGTTTGCCTCTAGACCAATCTTATGGAGACATTTTTTTTTTCTCAGTTGAGGGTCCCTCTTCTCAAATGACTAACTTATATCAAGCTGACATAAGGCTGGCCAACTCATACCACCATCATTAATTCTCTGATATTGACTGATAGTACTCAGTCTATGTCCAAGCTCAAGGCTCTCCACCATGATTCCACCCACCCTCTACCCATCCACTGGTGTACCGTCACCAAGTGGCCATCATTGCAGCCCCCTTTGTACCTGCACAGAAAGTGCCGTCATTGGGGATGAACGTCCTGTTGTTGTTTGTGGCTCGAAAGCCTGCGTGGCAAATGCAGTAGAATCCTCCAGGCGTGTTGTGGCAGGATGTGTGGTTCCCACAGATCACGGTGGCTCCAAACTGGCACTCGTCTTTGTCTGCAGATGGATACATGGACAACTCACACAGAGGCTTTCCATCCACACCGTGTGTTCTTACCCAGAGTCCTCCCTCACTATAGACTAGAGACCTCTACTCTGTGGCAAGAGTTTACTGATGTAATTGCTTCTCCAGCCTCTTTTCCTTCCATTACGCTTTCCAGGCTAGAAGAAATCGGACTCATAATTACATACCTGGTATATACGAAGCCACAGGAGAAGCACAACCTACTATTCTCAGAGTCCATCTTACTTGATGGTTGGCAGTAGGTTATTTTTCAATTTCTTTCACATTTAAGAAAAAAATCAGAGTTGGAGCTGGAAGTCTGTGGGAAGTCGCCATATCTGGTATCCACAAGGCTCTGTGTTCAGTCCCATGAGAGTAATAGCACTTTTAAAATAAAATATTGGTGGGTCAGCTAGGTGGCTCACAAAATCAGGGGCTTGCCAGAGGCTTGGTAACGTCAGTTCTATCCTTGGGATTTAAAGGGGCGGAGGATCAACTCCCCAGAGTTTTCCTCTGACCTCCAAGTGTGATACTCTGACACACATATGTGCACACACGCAGATTTAAAAAAAAAAAAGTGGGCTGGAGAGATGGCTCAGAAGTTAAGAGCACTGGCTCTTCTTCCAGAGGTCCTGAGTTCAATTCCAAGCAACCACATGGTGGCTCACAACCATCTGTAATAGGATCTGATGCCCTCCTCTGGTGTGTCCAAGGAAAACCACAATGTACTCACATACATAAAATAAATAAAACTTTTTTAAAAAAGAAAAAAAAATGTAAAAATAAAATTTAAAAATGTAGAGACCGGAGAGATGTCTTGGTGGGTAAGATGATTCCAAATTCCCACAACCTACATAAATCCAGACATAGTGGCTTGCATCTGCAACCCAGTGCTCCTATGAAGAGATGGGAGATGGACGCAGGAGAGTTCCCAGAAGCTTGACAGCCAGCATACTGGAGTACACAGTGACAAGCAACAAAGAACACCGTTTTAATGAAGGTAGAAGGTGAGGAACCATCCCAAGAGGCTGTGCTCTGATCACCACATGCACACACCCACATGAATACACACAAGGACATGTATGCACATGAACAAACACTATTATACAGGCATATAAATTAATCTGCTATAAATTTTATAAGCCAGGGGAAACAAGCCTAGAATAATCCCATTTTCCAATTCCGCCATTGTCTTGGTCTTTCCAGTATTAGAGAATTAATGTTAATAGATGTGTTGGTTAGCTTTATGTCAATAAGTGAAGGTGCCCTTGGGAGGCCAGAGGCATCGGATCCCCTGGAACTAAAATTACAAGTGGTTTTGAGTCATCTGATAAAGCTGCCGGAAACCAAACTCAAGTCGTCTGCAAGAGCACCACATGCTCTCAGCCACTGAACCATCTCTCCTAACCTTGAGATGAATTTCATGTCCAATTATTTAACTGGAAAATTAGAATTGTCAGCTTCCAGGAAACACAAAGGAATTAGCAGTGACGCCTCAGCACAGGGTTCACACAGGGGCAGGAGATGCTCACACTGTCAGTGACCTGTGTGAACAATGGTGGGCACACTTTCCAATGTAGAGCATCTAGAACACGGACGGCTGAAGTCAGCCTTGAGTGCCATTAATTAAAGACAATGAAGTTGCCGGGCAGTGGTGGCGCACGCCTTTAATCCCAGCACTTGGGAGACAAAAGGCAGGTGGATTTCTGAGTTTGAGGACAGCCAGGGCTACACAGAGAAACCCTGTCTTGAAAAACCAGAAAAAAAAAAAAAAAAAAAAGACAATGAAGTTAAAACCTCCATCTCTCGCATAGCTGGGGTCAGAAAACCTTTTCTTTACATCTCATTCCTGCTTGTGGGCCTTAAAGCAGCCATAAAATATACCGATTGTGGGTCATAGTCACACATGTTTTTAAGGCCTGCATGCCTCTAACGCCAGCACTCAGAAGGCAGAGGCAAGCAGATCTTCATGAAGTCAAGCCCAGCCTGGTCTACATAGTGAGTTATAGGTCAGCCAGGGCTACACAGAGAAACTGTGTCTCAAAAAAAAACGACAAAAAAAAAACCAAACCAACCAAACAAACAAACAAAAACAAAAAAAACCACAAAACAAAAAACAAACAAACAAAAAACCCACAAAACAAAACAAAACAAAAGAACCAAAAAAACAAACAAAAAAAAAAACAAGAAACAAGGGCTAGAGAGATGGTTCAGAGGTTAAAAGCACTGACTGCTCTTTTCTGGTGTGTCCAAAGACACCAACAGTGCACTCATATAAATAAAATAAACCTTTCAGAAACAAAACCTAACTAGGACAACCACAACCCCCCCCACACACACACACCAAACACACAACAGGTATATTTGGTGTCATTTGGAGACCTTTAATGTCTCCCTGAAGGTTTCAGTTGGGATATTTATGTTCATATAAAGTTCTAAAATTAAGTCATTTGGCCGTATTAAGGTGCCTTTGGCACGTCTGTAACCTCACTAGTAACCTGCATCATGCACACAGCAGTCCAAGTGCTAGAATAGGCAGTGACCAGTGGGAACAATTACACAAATGTTCTGAAGTCCTCTCCTTTCCTACGAGATGCAGTTGAGAGCACAGTCACCATCCAGGAGAGGAGGAATTCCTCAGAGCAGCGGTCCTCAGCCTTCATAGCACTGTGACCCTTTAACACACTTCCTCATGTGGTGACACCCAACTATAAAATTATTTTCATTGCTACTTCATAACTGTCATTTTTCTACTCTTATGAATCATAATATAAATAGCTATGTTTTTTCAATGGTCTTAGGTGACCCCTGTGAAAGGGTCAGTCAATCTCCAAAGGGGTCACAACCCACAGGTTGAGAGCCATTGCCTTAGAGGACACCTGTCCAGCTCCTCAATTCCAACTTTAGTTGCTAACAAAGGATCAGGTACTGTTGGGGAAAGGGTAGGAGAGACTCCAACTGCAGAGCAACCACACTTCTAAGAAGGACAGCCCTCGAGAGTGGGGCTGGTCCAAGCACATCCAAGTCCAACATGCAGACTGGACAATGGTGGGTCACAGGGACAGCTTTTATTTGTGCAATGGAATGTGACTCGCCTAACCATTGGAGTGTGACTCTGAATGCAGGATTGAATTGTTATTTTTCTTTAAGTACTAAAAATGAGAAAATGTCCACCAGGACAAACGGCTAGAGGGATGCCTCTGCAGGTAAAAGCATTTGCTGTATACAAGCATGGGCCCCTAAGTTCAAAGCCCCTGCCAGCAGCCATATAAAAAGCCAGACATGACCAGGCCTGGTGGTGCATACCTTTAGTCCTCGAACCCTGGAGGCAGAGACAAGTGGGTCTCTGAGTCTGCGGCCAAACCTGCTCTACATAGTAAGTTCCAGGACAGTCAGGGCTATCTAGGAAAACCCTGTCTCAAAAAAGAAAGAAAGAAAGAAAGAAAGAAAGAAAGAAAGAAAGAAAGAAAGAAAGAGAGAGAGAGAGAGAGAGAGAGAGAGAGAGAGAGAGAGAGAGAGGAAGGAAGGAAGGAAGGAAGGAAGGAAGGAAGGAAGGGGGAAGGAGGGAGGAAGGGAGGGAAGGAAGGAAAAAAGGAGGGAGGGAGAGAGGGAGAGAGGAAAGAAGGTAGGAAGAAAGGAAGGGAAGAAGGAAAGAACTTAAAAATAAAGAAAAGAGCAGAGCCAGGCGTGGCCATGGAGGACCACTGTGGTTTCTTGGCTGACAGCCTGTCTCTGGGTTCAATGGGAGACCCTGTATCCATGTAGATAGTGAGAAAGAATATCCAACATCTTCCTCTGGTCTCTACACATGCCCCTCCACCCCCACACATCTGTGTACATAAGACACATGCAACACATACATACTCACACTCGAAAATCAGCATGAAGGCATGATAACAAGGGTAGATACAAGGTAAAACTTTTACAGCACATAGCAAGGAGGAGAAAACCGAGAAGTTATTGTTAAATTTAGTACAGCTAAATTGTTGTGACGTTCTCTCTGAATTGTGCTTGACTGTCAATGTTATCTGGTTGTTCCCGAATAGACATCATGAGGAAAAATAAACAAATAACTTAGCTGCATCTAGTCTAAACAACCTTCAAGTTATCTTAAAGTACTCCTTGAAGTCATCCCAAAGAAATTAAGAAATGTAATATTTGCTTTTGTTGTTAAGTTAAACTCAGGACATAAAACAGACTTCCAATCTGCATAGGTCAAAGAGTTTCCAGAGAGTTCAGGTCAACGACATCTAATATGAGAGGGCCTTCCTTAGAAACACCAGCAAAAAGGATGTACCTAAACAATAAAACTGAGATTTTGTTGTAATTGGCAAAAATCCACTAAGAAAAACATGTGAACAAAATAACAATGTTTGCCCTACATTGAACGCCGACTCTAAAACTGGAAAACCATTGGTTTTTATTCAAATTTTCAGCTTAACCCACCAGTTAAACTTACCAACACACCGTGTCCTCCCGTTGCCCCAAAACCCATAGTTGCAAATGCAGATCCACTTCCCTTCCTTTTGCTGGCATGTGGCATGTTCATGGCAAGTGGCACAGACATCTAAATCTGAGTCAGAGATCATACATTTCAGAAACAGGAAGTTAAAGGCGAGGTATGTTTAGTCAACGTGCGTGCATCACAGAGAACCAAAACTTCAATTCCAAAATAAACCAGGTCAGGTTCAGATCTCATCCATACGACTTTCAATAATGATTCACTGGCCACAAAATATAATTGCAGACTCCTCTGTGAGTCAACACTCTTCAGTGTTTGTCTTCTTCTGAGTTCCTTCAGCCTCATATTCCCAAACTCTAACTGCATGGTGCCATCCAGGCAAAGGGACAAGGACGCTTTCCTAACAGACGAGCTGCTATCATTGTCCTCGCCATGTTCACCTGGAATGTCTATGCCTGCTTCTCTACCAGTCTGGTACCCACTCTTATTTTCAAGAGTTGGCCAGCATGACTCATTCTCTCTGAACTCTTCCCCACTCCCAAGGAAAGGTGGATGCATCTTTGAATCTCCCATAAAGCATCTACACTCCCATAACGATCATGCTAACCTATGTTTAATCCCATTTTGAGACTACAAATGAACCACATAAGGATGAGGGTTATGACATTTGTTCAGTATGTTTTCACAGCACAGTATAGATGTTCGACATATTTTTGGGGGCTGGAATAGGAGGTCTAAAATGGGGGCTGGAGAGCTGGCTCAGGGGTTAAGAGCACTGGCTACTTTTCCATAGGACCCATGTTTGATTCCTGAACCACTCCATATGGTGGCTCACAACCATCTGTAACTCCAGTCTTGAGGGATCCAGTGTCCTCTTGTACTCTCCTGGCCTCCATGAGCACATACATGCAGGCAAAACACCCACAGAAAATAAATCCAAAATGTGACTTGCTACAGCTGTAAAAGCAAATGCAGAAAAGAGGAACACATCTGCCAACTACTCTCTTTCCCTTTATGGAAAAAGTGTGTTTAAGAAGTCAGGGAGATAAGCTCTGAGTCCCAACAGGACGGCCAAACCCTATTAATTAGATAAACAACAGAAACATTTGAGACTAAAACTCTTGAAATACCTAAATTTACCAAAATGGGGATGTGTAATCTAAGACCAAACAAGAATTTCTACTCAAGGCTATGTAGAATATTGGGTTTCGTGCCAGTGTCTCTGTAATTTCAGGAGTACTCTCATGAAGAGAATGTTCCAGCATAGAATTTCATCCTAGCCTTGGCCTCATCCGAAGCCAAATAATATACAGCCCGGCCTTCAGGCTGCTCCAGGCATGAGACCTACAGAAACTGGGAGACTCCTAAATACTCTTAATTGTGTTTCTGGCTTTTGTTTTTCATTTTACTAACAAAAGACAACATATTTGAGGCCAGCCTGGGCTACATGAGATTATATCAAACAAATGCCAAAATATAAATACAAATAAAACCAAAGATAACACAGAAACAAATGGGCCGGGCGGTGGTGGCGCACGCCTTTAATCCCAGCACTTGGGAGGCAGAGGCAGGAGGATTTCTGAGTTCGAGGCCAGCCTGGTCTACAGAGTGAGTTCCAGGACAGCCCGGGCTACACAGAGAAACCCTGTCTCGAAAAACCAAAAAAAAAAACAAAAAACAAAAAACACAGAAACAAATGCAATCACTGATGGTTACTGATACCAAATTAACCATGGGATATCTATAAGTACCTCATGACCACAAAATAATGCAAAAAACATTAAATAAAAATTTTAGAGGTGTATCATCTGACCATCATGGAATAATGAAATAAAACTTCAAAGCAAAACCTATGTGTAGTTTCCTCAGAAAGAAAGAAACAAACAAAGAAAGAAACCCTTCTACAGCGTTCTCTAGACAAAGACAATGAACAGCTGCTTGATGATAGGTATAAAAACTCATTGCAAAAAATTTGAGTTTGTTATGTTTTTCTTTTTATTTTTAAAACGTAATTTAAAAAAAAAATCAAGCAATCACAGAAGAGTCCTGGACTTTAAGTGAAAGAAATTTGGAAGCAAGAAAGAAGATAGAGTTTTAAGAATTCGCCGGGCAGTGGTGGCACACGCCTTTAATCCCAGCACTTGGGAGGCAGAGGCAGGCGGATTTCTGAGTTCGAGGCCAGCCTGGTCTACCAAGTGAGTTCCAGGACAGCCAGGGCTATAAAGAGAAACCCTGTCTCGAAAAACCAAAAAAAAAAAAAAAAAAGAATTCAAAAAGATTATTTTTAAAAGCAAAAGAAAGATTTCTGGATAAACCCTGAGGGTTTCAAACACTTCCAATCTCCTTACACTTCAATAAAATAAAATGAAGAATTGGAAAGATAAAAATCTTTCTGTATTTGTGTGTGAGGGGGTGCATGTAGATGCGTGTGGATGCACATGTATGTATATGTGTGCGCACATGTGTGCACACGCATGTGCACCTATATGTGAACACTAGAGGACAACCTCAGTATTATTCCTCAGGCCTTGTCTGCATGTTTTGTTTTATTTTGCTTTGTTTTAGACACAGCATCCCTCACTACCTTGAATCTGAGCAAGTAGACTAGGCTGGCCAGTGAGCCCCAGGTAACCCCTCTCCCCAACTCCTAAAAGTATAAATCTTAAAATAGACAATGACAGCAGACAAAGGATGTTCACAACATTTCAGATGGAAAAGAGCAATCGCTATACATAGCAATTGCTCTGCAGAGAGGAAGAAACAAAGAGTTCCTGGGTAGCTGGAGAGAGCATAGAAGCGGGTATGGGACGCCCAAGGACCTGCTTACGCAGGCACAATTCTTGTTTTGTCTTTCTGATGCTGCTTGGGATGGAAACCAGGCCTCCTGCAAGCTAAGCACAGGCTACACCACTGAGCCCCACCTCGAGCCTCTGAGGGAACATTTCTATAAGGAGTAATGGCCCAAATCCCCTCATAGATGCTGATATATGTTACAGTTTGCTTGAGAGAGGGAGGGAGGGAGGGAGGGAGGGAGGGAGGGAGGGAGGGAGGGAGGGAGGGACCAGATCAGAGAGGTAACAAGCAGCCTGCAGAGCAGAAGAAAGTATCCCCCAAATACATTTAACCATTTTAACAGATTAACGCTTTAACACAGCATTGGAGAACAAGGCCAGCTCCTTTGGCAGTTCGATTACAAGAAGTGCTTCCTTCAGACCTTGTTATACTGATACTATGTTACCTATGCACTGTGAAGGGAAATGGAAAGAGAAAAAATCGAGGGCTGGAGAACTGGGACAGTGGTTGAGGACACTTTCTGCTCTTATGGAGGATCAGAGCTGGGGTCCCAGCACTCATATCAGGCAGCTCAATTGGTAGAATTCTTGCCTAGCATACATGAAGCTTTGTACTCAACCTTCAGGGGATCATGCTGCAGACTCAGCCCTCAGATCAGGGAGGCAGAAGGATCTGGAGTTCAAAACCAGCCCCTGCTACAGGAAACCATGTATCAAAAGAGAAGGAGGAAGAGGAAGGGGAGGTGGCAAGGAATAAGAGGAGGAAGAGGAGATGAGAAATACAAATGTTGGGTGTATTCTAAAGCATTATTAAATTAAGAGATAGATCACACAAATATGTCCATGTCTATATATCTTATTATTTCTAGAACAGCTGTGGTTATGGATTTGGGGGTAGAGTTCGCTAGCTATTTGCTAGCTGGGTTAGGCTTGATCGTCTCTACACATCTGCAGCTCCATCTCCTCTTCTGCGATGATTATAGAGTAAATGAGTTAGTGTGTGTAAAGAAATCAGAATCTGCCCATTCGACACTAACGATCCCTCAACTTCTATCAACAGGAGCCAGCCCCCGATGGTTAACCAGTCGGCAACTAATGGGAAGAGCACTGGGTGGCTGCTTGATGCAGAAATCCCAACCAAGACCTGTGTGTGGACAGATGCCTACCTGGCCATGGAGTAGTAGAGTCTGCAAACATAATGCCTTAATTATATACACACAATCCTATGCAGGTATGCCCTGCCTTCCCCATGTCCTCCATCCCTTCTGAGCACAGCCTGACTGGGAAACTGAAACGCATCCTCAGTGTCTTCTCAGCCCTCTTGGTTTCTTCCTGCCCTCCTGTCTCCATCATCCAAGAAATCTATACCCTGGCCCCAGCAACCCAATCTCGCTCTTTAATACGCCAGCTGTCTTAGTTAGGATGGCTGTTGCTATGATAACATATCATGACCAAAAGCAACTCGGAAAAGGTTTATTACATCATCATCCAGGGAAGCCAGGACAGGAACACAAGTCAACAAGTCAAGAACGGGGATGGAAGCCATGGGGGCCTGCTGCTTACTGGCTCGCTCCTCACGGCTCGCTCCTCCTATTTTCTCACACCAGTCAGGACCTCCTGCTCACAGTGGGTGAGGCCCTCCCACATCAATCACTAATCGAGAAAAGGTCCAGTGGACTTGCCTACAAGCCAATCTTATACAAGCATTTTCTCAAGATTCCTTCTCTCAGATATGTCTCGATTTGTGTCAAGTTGACAAAAACCAACAGGCACAGCAGCTCCTTTGAGAGCCTGCCTGGAAGATGAAGAGACCTGTTCACACCAAGGATGCAAAGGAGTTTGCTGAAGCCCCTTTGAACCTAACATCTGTCCTCACCTAGCTCCAGCCATGTCAGGAGGACCAGACAAACCTGACAGACTCACTGCACAACTTCCTTGAGATTCCCTTTCCCAAACTTATGGAGACATGGAAATATATTAAATAACCAAACGGGGTACCCAATAGAGTCCAAAACTCAGAGAGAGAGAAATATCTAGAAGCAAGTCTAGAATGCTACATCAAACTGCACTGTTTCTATGAAACAGCATCAAATTCCAGAGATAGAATCCAGAAATCCAAGAATATTATATTCTCTCCTCTCTATCATTCATGACAGAAAAATAAGAAAGGAAGAAAGGAAGGAGGAAAGGAAGGAAGGAAGGAAAAGAAAG